CGCTATGAGTCGGAAACGACTCGACGGCACATAACAACAACAAACAACATCCATGACTATACTAGAATCAAGGGCTGAATAGACAATGATAAACCAGATTCCATCTTTGTGCTTAAAGAGTTCGTAGACACAAGTCTTGATGTCCATGCCTGATTTTCTGTCTCTCTGCTGTTTTTGCAGTTTTGTTGATGTTATGTGTGTGGTGGCAGGCCTTGCTTCCCTGACCATCAGTGACCATCAATAACCAGAACAACGCTGTGCTCTCTTGGATTGTACTCTCAAGTGTTGTTATACTTTGAAAGCTCTAGAATTTAAGCACATTAGATATCTTTCTATACTCTTACAAGCCACAAAAAAATTTTTGTTCAGGAAAATATAACTAGACTAGCTGTGGGGAAGATGAGTTGTGAACAGTAGCAAAGGTCTCATTATGCAGTCACTGCCTGAAGGTGTAGCAATAGACAGCGACAGGGAATTGATAAAAGAGCCCCTGACAGCGTGTTGACTAGTGATAGGTGGAAGAAAATGAGACGTTCAAAACTGATGAGAGGATTTCTAGCTTCAGCAAGGATAGTCTTGCTGTTGTCTGAATGTGGGACACCAGAAGCATGAGTAAAGATGACTGCTGATTAAAGTAAGCACCAAGGGGAAGTGGTGCCTCAGGAAAACACCAGGGCTGGGAGCTAGATCAGAGAGTCCCCGCTAAGAGGAAGGGTCTTTCAAGGGGCTTTCTGCAGAGAGAAAGAAAATAATGTACAAGAAAATATTTTAGGATTTAACTACTAGGGAAAAATTTATAACCATTAAAATGACCATTAAAAATGAAAACAGGGCTGTTAAGACTTAAAACTGAGGTATCCAACCTTGAGACCAGAGTTCTAAGTACTTGTGAAGGTTGTATCAGGAAAATCTAAAAAATCTTGATGGGATTTTTACCTAAAGCTGACAAAATAAGCAAACAATAAAATCATGTCATGTTTCCTTCTCTCTTACGGAAATAATACCAGGCCAGTGTTGACTTGAATGCAGAATAGAGGTTCTGATACACTTTTAGAGTATATATGTGAGTGGTTAAAATAGAGCAATGAATTATTATTGCATCTTGCCTCTTCAGCCTTTTGGAAGCACTCATTCAAGTGTTCCTTGGAACACAGTTTGCAAAATGTGAGAGATAATGATGGGAAATTACCTGTAACAGGCTCTGTGATTGACAAAACTCAGGATTTTAGTCCTGAAATGGCCAAATAAGGGAAATACTAGTAGGTATTTACAGTGTATCCATTTCCATTGTCTCCTCTGTCCTCTTACCCCTTTGTTTAAAAAAAAAATGCAACCATCTCTAATTCCAAGAATAATTAGATAGTCCTCCTTTACCTGTGAGAGTCCCTGCCATCGAGAGCTATCGTAGAATTGATCTGAAAGAAATTGGAACATTTTTTAGCTTCCTATTAAGAAAATGGAAATCCTACTCTTTCCTTTTTTTGTGTGGAATTAATGGACATTAGCAGAATTTTCGTAAAGGCATTTGTGCTGTGCCTGTGGATTGTGTTTGTTTGGATGGGGGGGGGGTATGTGTATGTATGTGTCAGACCTATGGCTATAAATTCAGTTACCCAAAGAATAATGGCTCATAATAATTTGTGGCTAGAAGTGGATTGTTTTTACATAGACATATATAGAAAGAGATTTTTTTTAAAGAATATTCAGAAAAAGGTCTTGTCTTTTATAATATGGATTTCAGTGAATTGATTATTATAATCTGAGTATCATTAACTGAAAATTATAAAACCCCATTTTTAAAAACCTTGGAGTATTTCTCAATGCCCCAGGTTGCTTTGAATACTTGACTCTAGACTCTTAATTTTGGTTAGACTATGTGAACAATTCATTTTTTTAAAAAAAAAAGATATGTGCATGTTAAGAAAATCTTTCCTGAAGAGAGCAAAAAATCACAGGCAAAATTAAGCCTGCAAAATTAATTGAATTTTTTTTTTTTAGCAGTAGTCTCTGCATACCATCCCAGGACATAGCTGGGACTTTTAACAGTTTTTAATCAATAAGGTAGGTGAACACCAACAGAAAATTAGGGAGTGTTCGTTTCGTATACAAAACACATTAAATTTAAAACACCAAGTTTATTGGTCATCTTAAATAATTGGCTATGCTGAAACCAAAAAACTGAACAGTGGTTAGAATAGTTTAAATAGAGCCTTAGGCATTAGCTGCCATGTGTAAGGTAAAAGAAATGCCACCAGTGGAATCTAGTTCCTACACTTGAAATTGAACTCTGTTCACAGAGCCTGTCTCCTGACTGATCTTTTTTTTTTTTAAATAGAGTTTTTTTGTTTGTTTTTTTTTTAAATTTAGGTTGTTTATTTTTCATTTCAATGAACAT